CCCGCCGCCCCCGGGCTCCAGCCTTCCCGGCTGCCCCGCGGGAGCCGGCAGGTCGCACCCCGGCCTCCGCCAGGTTTTAAGGCGGGGATGGCTGGCCTCTTCCCCCGGCAAGCTGAGAAAGCCTTCACCCTCCTCCTCCCACCCCTGTCCCTGCTCTCCCGGGCAATGTGGGGACTTGCCTCTTCGCCTGGCAAGCTGAGAAACCTTCATCCGCCTCCCAACCCTGGCCCTTGTCCAGGGGCAACACATGGGGGGGTGAATGCAGGTGCACGTGCACCCGCTACAAAGGCGCCGCCGGGCGGTCACCACTCACCACCCCGACACCGACACCGCTGTGGACGGGCCGCATTCACCACTGGCCACCGCCAAAGCCACTCGCCACCCCTTGTCCCCCCCCGCCACCGACAGCGTTTACGGGAGCTCCCGCTTACCGCTGTCACGCCCCACCGCCACCGTGCCCCCCCATTCACTGGGGGCATGCGTCATTCATGCCCTTGTCCTCCCCGGCAGTATCATGACTGGCTTCTTCCCCAGGCAAGCTGAGAAAACCTTCTTCGTCCTCCTCCTAACCCTGTCCCCAGGGGCAGCCCATCCTATCCGCAGGAGGCCCCGCACCCAAGGGTCCCACGTCCAGCCACTCGCCTTCCCTCCCCTCCCCCCCACTGCTGACACTGGCTGCTTCATGTCAGGGGGCCCCAAAACTATATTTTGCAGGGGGCCCCCAAAAATTGTGGGCCAGCTCTGTCTGTCCCTCGTCCTCCCTGGCAATCTGATGCTTTGCCTTTTCCCCTAGCAAGCTGAGGACACCTTCTTTGTCCTCCTCCCACCCCTGTCCCTTGTCCTTCTGGGCATGAGCGCCGCATGCCCCCGGAGGCTGGGGGGGCATGGCGACTGCCTGCAGGCAGTGGGGCAATGTTGGCAGCAGGGGCATGGTGGTGGTGAACAGGGAGCTCCCGCAGGCGGCCACGGTGGTGTTGGTAGCAAGGGGGGAGGGTGACAGTGTCAGCGGTGCTTTTTGCAGGGGGTGCACCGCCCAGCTCGGGGTGCACGTGTACCCACGTGCACCCCCTACGCATCGCCAATGCTCCCTGGAAATATGATGACTTGCCTTTTCCCCTAGCAAGCTGAGAAAACCTTCTTCATCCTCACCCCAGCCCTGTCCCTCACCACAAAGGACATGGCTGTGACAACAGAAGTTATGGTAGAGGTGATATTTTTTATTAGATTTGGGCAAAAAAACAATTCTTTAATTTTTACCAAAATCTAATTGGTCTAATAAAAGATGTCACATCTACCATGAATTCTGATTCCTTTTGCCTGTAGGCCAATATGGTTGCAACCTGGCTACGTGGCTGTTACAACTGCTTTTTTTGTCTCATGTAGAAAGCAGACAGGAAGTAAGATGGGGGACACGCAAGTGAAAAAACAACAGGTTTCATGATTGTATTCATTTTTTTTCCCCGCTTCACTTCCAAGTGGAAGGAGGCAGAGCCAGCAACACCTAGCTTAGGTATACGCAGCTCATCAAATTCTTCCGTCTTTGAGGGCCTTATATTCATCTGCACTACCTGGCATTGCCGTGGGGAAGGCCTGTCATCTCCATTTTGAGGGGCACAGACGCACAGAAAGACCTAAATCACCGAAAGAGTTGGGCATGGAAAGAGGGATTTTTGTTCATGTGATTTAGGCTCCTAAAGCCAAAACTGCAGTCCTGAAAACCTCCACTGAGCCACCTGCTAGTCCTGCAGATTCCTCAAGTCTGGAGGTGCCTCACTTGATCTGCGCGCGCGCGTGTGTGTGTGTGTACATATATATACACACACACAATACACACACACACATATGAGCACAAGCTTTCATAGGCTCACTTAATCAGAAGTTGACTGATGCTTCTACTGGAACAGACTCAAACAAAATAAAGCAGCGTTGCTACTTCCCCGTTGTGCCACCCCTCTTCCCTGTTATGCTGTAGCCCAGCGGAGGGTTCGGTCCCCTCCTTTGTCTGAGGATTTACCATCCACTTTACCACTTTTCAGGAGACGATCTAACTGTTAGGTTAAAGGCCACAGGGAGACGTTTTCTATACTTCCTGTTGAAATCGTGCCCTTGCGCATGAAAGAGTAATAGATTTATTGGGCGAGTGAGAGTGAGCATGAGTGAACACAGCGTACTCACCTGAGCAGGATGAGGCCTGTATTTCAGCTGAAGCAGGTGGCCCCTCACTCAGCAAGCTGGCTCGTGTAAATCACATTCAGAGACACCCAAGGCCACTCCAAATATTCAGTGTAATGGACTCAAGTCCCTTTATGGATCAGGGGCAAAGTGGCTCACCAAAGGCTGCTCAGGGCATCTGCAGTGGAATGGGAGATTTAAATGTCCCCAAGTTCAGCCTACCCAGTGAACCATCCTCCCTCTCTGGTAGTAAGCGAGCTCTCTGCAACCTGCCAGGAAGCATTATACCGCCCTCGGTCTGGGAATCCCCACTTTACAATGAATTAACTGTGCAGTTTGTCTTATCATAACTCAGTGTGGTAGCTGAAGTCAGCGGGAGTCTTAGGTGCCAAAGAAATGCTTTACTAGGCCAATGGTTGCTTTCTTTGGGCTTAATCCAAAGACAATCAAAGTCAATTGAACGATTCCGATTTTGTTCAATAAATACTGGAGCCGGCCCTTTAGGAAGGCTAGAGCTGTCATTCATTGTTCCTTCTTCCTTTAAAATGTTAAAATCGAATGCATTTTATTGACATCCAGCTTGAGTTTGTCCCCCACAATCCTTATTAAAACTATGGTTTGGGTCCGAGCGAAATGGACAAGTTCGATTTTTGGTGAAAGCAACATTTAAAAAAAATGTTTTGGGGTCAATACAAAATATTGTTTTGACCCAAAATGATTCTTCCCCCCCTCACCTTCCAGGTTTTATTTACTTTTAATTTAGGTGGAAGTTACAAAGGGAAAACGACAGTTTGAAACAAAAAAATTGAATTTAAAAAATGTCAAAAAAGAATCATTCTGCATCACTAAAGAGATTAATTTAATTCTTTAAAATGTTAAGATGAAACTCACGGTGGTTTCTAAATTTTACCCCCATTTTCTTTTGTCTGATACTATTTACTGTATTCAGTCTAAATATGAAAACAGTTTTGATTTTCCCCTAACCATGAATTCTGTTTTTAAAGCAAATGTACCGTTTGTTGAAAAAAAATTACCCAAATTAGACAAAAACAGCTGGGCATATTGCACGTTACAATCCACCTTAGCTTTGAAGTAAACATGAAAAGCAAATCTCTCAGCCTACCAAGGTTCAGCTTCAGTTTTGCAGAGACTAATGGTATTAGGTATTTTTCATAAAATCCCATATCCTTGGATCATGTGTTAATGCAACAATTTAAGCCACCACCTTTAAAAGTATGCTTGTAATCTTCTTGATTGTACTAAGGGGAGGAGTGGGGGGAGAGATTGGAGCTGCGTCTGTCAATATGCTTTAACACTAAAATGAAGATAAAAATATTGCAAAATTAATTATTTTTAAGATGTCTCTTTTTTGTTTAACTAATCCCATGGTTTTGGGCATGATTTTTGAACACTTGGGTTGGCAGCACTGATGTCTGAGAGACAAATGAACAACGAAGACAAAAATGAGGAATGCTGAAGTAAACAAGTATAGAGCCAGAAGCATAGAGTGACATTAATATTATTTTCTACAAGCTTATCTTCATGATGCTGCATTTGTCATCTATGGAGTTCCTTAGGGCAATATCTGTAAATAATTGTAGGAACAATAATAGTAATAAATTGCTTCTCAGACCCACATACAATAACGTAAGTTGTTCTGTGTTCCTTCACTGCCTAGTACAGTGAGGCCTTTGTCCATGTCAACTCAAACAATGCAAATCAAAAGCCCCCGGTAAATAATTGAATAGGATACTAGTGAAACATTATTTTTCATACATTAACACCAAAACTGACTACAGGTTCACACAGATCATGGTGTAAGAATTGTTGAAAGGGATACACCATGGTTCAGTCATATTTATGACAGGAAAGTGTCCTGTTGGCTGCTTGATATTGCAAATTTAAAAAATGTATTGTAGCAAACAAGTATTGGCTTCATCTTTTTGGAAGAGTTATGGGGTGCAAAACAAGGTAAAGATCAGCAGAAGAAGGGTAGATGGATGAGTTTGCTGGGGTGAATCAAAAGGCAGTGGAGACAGAAAACACAGGAAAAAAGGATGGAGAGAACCATGTTATTCACAGACAGGAGGTAGCAGGAGTGGGTTGAAGCACATGAGCTTGTAGTTGTTTTATGCCTGGGTGTTCCTGGGGTTGTTCCCAAGAGCAGAGAGAGGGGAAAGAGTGGGTAGATGGTAGTCTTGGATCAAAAGAGTGGTTCTTTCTCCAAGATATGCAACCCTTTCCATGAGTCTAGGGTCACCCATCCAGATATACCCTGCATCCACGCCAGCACTGGGGGCCTCAGCTCTCTCATGTCTACTCCCAGGCAATGTTGTTCCATTACTCTCTCCCAAGGCTGGTTCTATTACTCTTCCAGCAAGGGCTGCTGCTACAGATCCTTGTAGTTAGAGCTGGGCTACCAGGGAAGAGTGTCAGGCAGAGGAACTTGGAATGAAAAACATGCCTTTTGGTGACTCTGAGGGTGCAGAAAGAAGTGACAATTTTCTCCCGAGTGCCTGGGGTCAAAACTGCTGCCAGTTCTGCTGGTAGAGGGGGACACTC